GTTAGTCATCCTCAATTATGATTTTTGACTGGCACCTGTTGTGGACGTCGGCCCAAGTTACCGCCGGGTATTCTACCAAATTTTGTTTCAGCTGCTACAAAGCCAAGGAGCTTCGGGGGTTGAGTCCCTGAGTAAATGCCTGAAAGGCCCAATCGTATGAACTAGAGCTAAGTCCATCCATTCCATTTGAAATCTTGACACGAACACCCTGAGCATCTCATTGTCCCTTTGCTTAACCTTAAAAAGATTCGATTTTCTTGTTTCGACCTTGATGGCCCCGGCATGAGCCTTTACAAAATCACCCGCGACCATAGCGAATGAATCAATGGAATTTAGGGGCAAGTTGTGGTACCATATCATTGCTCCTTTTGATAGAGTTTCCCCAAACTTTTTTAATAACACTGACTCAATTTCATCGTCTTCCAAGTCATTGCCTTTGATGGCACATGTGTAGGAGGTTACATGCTCATTTGGATCTGTTGTCCCGTTATATTTTGGAATATCAGGCATACGAAACTTCTTCGAGATTGGCTTCGGTGTCGCGCTCAGAGAAAAAGGCATTTGAACAAATTTCTTAGAATCCGGGACTTTCAACAATGGGGGCGCTCTTGGGATTTGATTGACCCCAGAATTATATGTTTCCACCTTTTTGTCGTTTGCCTCAATTTTCTTTTCACTTGATTCCACCCGTTTCGTTAATGCTTCAAGCATTTTCATTATTTCAGGGCTGACACCGGACTCAGCTTCACCTGGCCTTTCGGTGATCTGCTCACTTCTTCGGGTATTTTTTCGGTATGGTTCATACTCCACCCTGCTGGGGGCGCGACTCTGATTTTAAAGCTGCATTATCGCCGCTTGTTGAGCCTACAACATTTCGAAGATCAATCACAGACTGACCCCATCACATTCGCCTTTGAGCACTCCTCGAGCCGTTGGTCAGGCTCCTCCACGAACGTTGTTCTCGGGGTCGGTAGGAAGGTTGGCGTCGATGGCCACTTGTGAGTTAGCATCGACTGGGTCTACGACTGGGACCCCGTAGGGATCAGCAGGGGGCACTTCATTGCTAGGCACCAGATTGTTGTTTTCTCCATGATGGCCAGACCCATCCTCAATGTTCAAGTGAGCAGACTGAGAATTTGACATTTTTAAGCTGACCTGAAATTGAGACCTTAAAGAACAAGTGTAAAATAGAGTGTGTTATGAAGATTTTTTATCAAACCACCACTATTATCCTTAGCCCCACGATGGGTGCCAAACTGTTTACCCTTAAAACGGATAAAAATTAAGTTTATACGCGGTTTTAAGGATATGTGAATAGATTTAATACAAGTAATCAAGAATGTTAGATAAATGAATTAAAGATGAAATCAATAACCAAACCAGTTGTGGCGTTGAGTCTGGGCTCAAATTTTAGCTCAATAGCGATTTTACCCTCGACCGGGCCCTCGATTCGAAGCCAAACGTGTGTGGAGAACTATGAATAAAATAAGAACCTTTCAATGGCTAGAAAGCAGAGAAGTAAATTTATATTGCCTTGATATGCGCGTTACAGTGTGTCTTGAATGAAGAAGCTTCTCCTTTATATAATATGAGAGTTTCATCCCTAATACAACTTAAAAAAAGGTAAAAAAAATCATCCTTTCTCGTCAATAACTGATATGCTACCGATGTCGGGCGAGATTCGCGTCATGATATCCGGTTGGGTGCGGATATCACGGCTTTCTGTTAGTCGTGTGCAACCGTTCGTAGTGCTTTCCGAGGTTTAGGAGCTCGCTCTGGGTTCGGGGAGTGTTGTCTTGCCAGGCCCGGTGGCGAGCACTCCATTCGGCCTCTGGTACGAGAAGTCACTGGCTTCGATTTTGATCTCATGCACTCATGTCTTCGGTTCGTTTGATCTACCGAGAAATCGGGGTATATGTTACCCTCGGTTTTACCCGTATATATGCTTATAAGCCAGTTTAACCAGCTTATAAGCTAAGTCAAATACCCTCTAAGTTTGAAAAGGAGTGACGCGATCCAAAATTTGTCCATGCCAACCACTTTCATAAAAGCAAGAGGAAAAAAACATAAATTTGCAATATTTAAAGAAATTTTACAAAATCATAGCAACATGTACTAAACATTTATGGTAACTGAAAAATAAATATTATAAGAGATTCCAATAGAATGATACTCCAGCTGGGCGAAATGTTCGCAAATTACAACCTCAAACATTTCGCTTCCTATTTTTCATATGCCTTCCCTGACTTCTCTCTTCAATTATTGAGCATTTAGTTCTAGCCTATCAAGGTCCGAATATAACCTCATAATTGATTAATATACCTTGTATAAGTCAATAATAATTCTAGTATAATGCATATTTAATTAGTAATATTTTAATATATAAATGGTATGATAATGTTATAATATAAATATCATTTATCTTTATATAAGCATTTTATATAGAAAAAATTGCTGGTATATAACATGAAAGATATAATTTGAGACATTACATGCATGTTTATTTCTAGTATAAAATAATGTATAACATGCATATTTTAGAGAAAAAATGTATGGTATGTATGTAGGGTATATACAAAATAAACAATTTATACGTATTGTATAAGATATCTTAACAAGATATGGGTAGAACATTTTTTCCATGAAAGTTAGAAAATAAGAGGAGAGAAAGTATGAAAATAAGAACCAATCCCATGATTTATGCATCATGTTTATTCAGTAATTGTGCTCACAATGTTTACAATATGCTAATACTCCATCCGTCTCAAATTATTTGCCATATTTTTCTTTTATACGGTCCTTAAAAAATATTAATTAGAATAGATTTTTGACTATTTAACCCTTATTTATGTCCTAAGATATAATATTTACAAAGAGATCAAAGACATCAAATATTGTCTTTCTCAAAGCCGCCGAAGTGATCAACGGATGTTCTACCTTTTCATGGAGATCAAATACATCCTAAGGAAGTTCGCATCATCCTACGTTCGAGAAATACGTTGGTTAAGCCCTCGAATTATGGAGAACGATCTAGAGAGAAGAATCAAGAGAACAAACAAAATTGTACCCCCCATCATTTTATCAAATAAAATTATGTTTCTTCATATTTAAATTGTGGATGCAATTTATTTTGTATCACAAATAATTTATTGCAAACAAATTGGCACGCCCAGTGAAACCAAATATGCCTTTCATCTCTTCTCTCACGGTGAAAAGAATGTGGTATCTTCTTTGCTGGTACTTCAAGCCTCGTCTACGATGATCTTATAAATCTACGCCTCGACAAGCCTTGAAGTATGGGATATTTGTAAACATTAAATTTTATCGGATCAAATTCATATGAAATTTGGGTAAAATTCTAAATTTAAGATACTACAAGTAGAGTCCATCGAGGTTTTCTTGGAGGCTACTCTATCTGAAACCCTAACTTGGAGGCTACTATACCTGAAACCATAGCTTGGAGGGTACTCTACCCAAAACCCTAGCTACACCTATAAAAGTGGACCACATATTCCCTTTGAAAGTATCTCGAAATTCCATAAAAATTTATGGAATATTCACAAATAGTTCAAAAACATCAAATATTGTCTTTCTTAAAGCCGCTGAAGTGATCAACGGATGTTCTTCCTTTTCATGGAGATCAAATACATCCTAAGGAAGTTTGCATTATCCTATGTTCGAGAAATACGCTGGTTAAGCCTTCGAATTACGGAGAACGATCTAGAGAAAAGAATCAAGGGAACAAACAGAATTGTACCCGCATCATTTTATCAATAAAATTATGTTTCTTCATATTTATATTGTGATTGTAATTTATTTTGCATCACAAATAATTTGTTGNTTGTGGCTACCAAATATATATTTGAGATGCGAGGCGGTGTCAACGATTGATGAGACGCGAGACGGTGTCAACGAAAATTTAGAGGTATGGAGACAGACCCTAGAGTCTAAGGGTTTTAAGTTGAGCAGGACGAAGACGGAGTACCTAGAGTGCAAGTTCAACATAGTGTCAGGAGGAATAGATATAGACGTGAGGCTTGATTCACAAGTCATCCCCAAGAGAGGAAGTTTCAAGTATCTCGGGTCTATTATCCAAGGGAACGAGGAGATTGACGAGGATGTCACACACCGTATAGGGGCGGGGAGGATGAAATTGAGGCTAGCATCCGGCGTCTTGTGTGACAAGAATGTGCCACCAAAACTTAAGGGTCAGTTCTACAAGGCAATGGTTAGACTGGCAATGTTGTATGGGGCAGAATACTAGCCAGTCAAGAACTCTCATATCCAGAAGATGAACGTAGCCGAAATGAGGATGTTGCGATGAATGTGCGGGCACACTAGGTTGGACAAGATTAGGAATAAGGATATTCTCGAGAAAGTGGGTGTGGCCCCTATGAAAGATAAGATGCGCGAAGCGAGGCTTAGATGGTTCGGGCATGTGAGAAAGAGAAGCCTAGATGCCCCAGTGAGGAGGTGTGAACGGGTGGCATTGACAGGTAGGAGAAGAGGTAGATGGTGGCCTAAAAAGTACTGGAGAGAGGTGATGAGGCAGGACATGGCGTAACTTTAGCTTACCGAGGACATGGCCCTTGACAGGAGGGTATGAAGGTCGACGATTAGGGTAGAAGGTTAATAAGTCGCCGTGTATTTTTCTGATCTGTTCCAGGTTTATTAGGGTTAGTTGACTAGTACATTATCTTTGATTCTTAGAATGCCAATATTAGGGTTGTTTTAGTACTATCTTCCGCTTCGGTTTTCTAGTATCCTGTCGTATTACTGGTTGTGGCTATTGCTTTTGCTATTGCTTTCTTTTATTTATTTTTTTCTCCGATCATATTATTGATATTATTTTTCTGGCCTTATTATTGTTATTTACTTGATCCTATTCTTACTCTCAAACCAGGGTCTTTCAGAAACAGTGTCTCTGCCTTTAGCGACGGGGGCTAAGGTCTCAATACACATTTGTTGTTGGCTACGGCTAAAAGTATAATATTTGCCTGCTGAAAATCCGAGACATTTCAACAGCCCAAACCCGACAGAGCTAACAGAACAAAGAGGCGAACAGAAAGAGAAGCGAATCGGAGGGAATTCAATCGGGAGAAAATGGAGGTGCCAGGATCGTCGAAGAAGATGATAGCAACGCAAGCAGAGATGGTGGAAGCGAAAGTACCATTATCATACAGGGATCAGTGCGCCCATCTGTTGATCCCTCTTAACAAGTGCCGTCAGTCGGAGTTCTACTTACCCTGGAAGTGCGAGGACGAGCGTCACTCGTACGAGAAGTGCGAGTATGAGCTTGTCATGGAACGGATGCTTCAAATGCAGAAGATCCGTCAGCAGCAAAAAGGACAGCAGTCAATTCCCCTTTTCCCTAAGACTGCCAATGCCTAGTCAATCCATCATCTATCTAATTGGTCAGTGCTTGCTTATTTGACCTACTGTTTTCCCTTTTCATTTACTTTTTAAATGAGATATGTTACGGCTTGTTCACTTTAGACTCCAAAATATTGGGGGTTTTATTTTCTATTTTTGTCAAAAAATGTTTATGGGATTTCTTGATTGTTTTCTGTTATGACTTAAAGTGTCAAATTGTTGGGTAGCTCCTTGATATTTGACTTTACGTGGTAAGACATTGACTGACTTGGCTGTCCTATATCACTTACTTGAAATTACCTACAATGTTTTAAGTATAATTTGTGAATGATTTAAAGACAACCTAGTTACCCCGTACATGTGCTGGTGGGAGGTAGGAGGTACACGTACAATAGTCGAGGTGCGTACATGTTGGTCTAGATACCGTCATCATCGAATAAAATGAAGGAGTTGTTGACGATTGATATAGGTAATAATATTGGTGTACAAAATGTTATTGGCTCCATGTCTATGCCTTATTTGTGTAAATTTGTCAGGCACCACCGTTGTCCGCAAGTACATATTTGTATAAATTCGTTAGGCGTCGTTGTCTCCAAGTACATGGTATGTTGCCAATCTATATATGAAATGAAAATCAGTTACAACTTTAACTGAGATGTGGCATCAGCAATAATCATGGTTGTGTATCATTGGACTTGTACGCTCACAGTTATACAATTCACACGATAGTAATAAAGATAGAATACAAGTATGGAATTGTGATTAATTACTTGTTAATTACCAGAATTAACACAAGTATGATTTTTGCAGACAAGTGTTTCATTGACTACTGCCTAATTGGATTAACTGGAAATGACAACAGCTTATAGAATTCACTTGAGTTTAAAGACTAAGAATATGGCTTCCCCCAATACTTCATTCAACTGATTGCATGTTTTTAACCATACTCTAATGAATTGAGTTATTAACCTAGGGTGCTAGTTATACTTATAAGTATCCTTTTTGAGTTGTTATGAGCCTATCTTCCTTAATTCATTCTTCACTCTTGTATGTCTATGAGAATAATGATACCAAAGGTGCATTAGTTTCCAGCCATAACGATGGTTGCATAAGGCAGTGGTTGTTCATCTTAATTACAGACTAATTCAACTGTTGAGCTAAGTGATTTAACATTGCGATACTAAAATCTAGTCAAACCTAGATTCTCTTTGTCAAGTTCGTCTTGGGTTACCAAATAAATCTAATTGGTTTCCAATTAATTAACGAATCAAGCACAAGATTGAATAAAGTAAAACAAAAGTGAGGATCTTTAAGTTCTAATATGCAGTAGTGTTTTTGGTAGTTTGGTTTATTAAGGGTAGTCGTACAACACAAAACCTCAAGCCTAGTTCCCTTTCAACCCACCGATTTTCTCTTTTGGGTAAATACAATCCTCAACATCACAATATTGTTTAAAATAGGCATGCAAATGGAATTTATCTGACCGTTTTCCATGTTGAGCTTTTGCCATCTTAATTTGCTTTTTTATCGTTTGTGGTAATGGAATAGTAGTCGGCTGGCTGATGGTTAAATATTGACTTGCGAGTTTGAATATCTAGCAATGAGTTTTGGATGTTAGTCTCTCGTAGCTTCTTTTTGATATATCTATAATTATGTAAGGAGGTAAAAAAAAAAAAGAATGGGAAGGAAATCATGGATATGTTGATAGCTATATTGGCAGGAGAAAAGAGAGAAATCCTTTAATTTATATTTGGAGATTATTATGTTGAGAAAATGCACGTACTATCAGTGCAAAAAGTTTAGTGTGGAAATAGGTCTGAAAATATACAAAACATTAACATCATAGATGTGATATGGCAGTGTAGGAAATGCTTTAGTCATTTATTGAGTTGACATGTTTTAGTGCCATCAGCTCCCCTTTCGGATATTCTGGGAGTCTCAGATGAACTCGGGTAGGAGGATCCCCTATCATTGTTGCTTCTTGTGTTATTAACTTATTATGTAAACCCTTCGCAAGTAAATTAGTAGGCCATTTTGTCGGGGGTGGATTTATTATATATGAAGCCAAAGGTTGGAAGATCTCTAAATCATACCTACTGTTAGCTAGTAAAAGCTTTATTTCTGAACCCATTAACATCGTTATGACTGTAGAAAGTGTTTGGACTTTGTACTTTGTATCAACATGAAAATGTCGGAGCAGATAACTGTTGAGAAGGTCCATAACATGTATAAACTTGCTTTGAATGGAGGATGTAAAGTAGCTAAAGTACATATATAATATCTTGGACTTCCAAGGAGTGGTAAGTTCAAAGAGATTGAGCTATGACAACTAGCTAGAAAAGGATTAAGAGTTTAAGAGAAGATTGAAAATGTGGACGATTATGTCTACCGGAGGAAAATCAATATGACAAAAGCAACCCTCTCCAACATTCTTACATACTTCATGTCTTTGTCCCTATTCAGTTCCATTGTTGCTAAAACTAATTTGGAGAAATTAATGAGAGATTTCATGTGTGATGGAATAAGTGAACAAACAAATTATCTTGGTTGGTTGAGAGAGGGTTATTAGTAAAGAATAAAAATCGTATTATTCTAACTTGATGTTTGGTATGGTGATTATTCTAGATGGGGGAGGCCATGGTTGCTAAAATATTCAAAAGGATGGAGAATAAATTTTTCATTTCTGATGGATCTCCCTAGAGCGGGGAGATACATTAGCAAGCTTGAAAATCTACAAACCGGATGCTAGAAGGAAGATATGAAAGACCATCCCATTAAATAATTTTTGGCAAATATAGCGAGAGAGGAATATGAGAATTTTCTAAGGACTTTAGACTTGGATACTGAGAGCATGTTTGGTTGCATGTATAAACTATTATAATACCTGCATAAAACCCTGCATTTTTTGGTTTGCAACTTACAAGCCTTGAACTCATGACCTAGCCTTGTGAAAAAAATGCATAAAACCCTGCATTTTTTGGTTTGTAACTTACAAGCCTTGAACTCATGACCTAGCCTTGTGAAGAAAACGACCTCAACCACTATGACAAAGAGTGAACGGTTGCATAAAACCCAGCAGTATTAATACTGGTTGCCTTTTAAAACTTGCATATATTCTAGAATTGGTCAACACATTGTTTGGTGGCTGTTTTTGTTTCCCGCATAAGTAATACCTGCAGAAGTTATGTAGGAATCTATGTATTATTCTATACGGGTTAGAAGGTGGAATTAGAATACATGGATTAAAATAACTAATATGATCAAAATAACCCTCATGTATTAACAATTTTAAAAAAATAGTAAACAAGACACATTTTTCTCTATACCTTATAATTCATGCATTACTAATCCCTGTATTATAATCCCCCTATTACAAATTCGTACATTATAATACATTCATTATTAATCCCTGCATAACTTGGTGTCTAAACCAGAAGACCCTAAGTGAAAAATTTCTTACCATTTTTTTTGTAAGCAAGAAATTCCTTGTATGGATAACTGGCTATATTTTCTTGGTAGCCTAAAGCATTCTACTACTAAACTTCTTTATTAACTCACATCTTGGTGTATAATATTATAATATTATTTTAATTGTCCATAAAAGATGAGTGGGAGTCAGAAGGAAGGATAAGAGTGCTTGTGGCCATGAGGATTGGTTTGGTGATTAGCTATAGATTATGCTGGTGTTTGGTGATTATTTGTCCTTGGGTCTATGTTTAACAACTGAGCCTTTTTAATTGGTTAATTGTATGGGAAAGTTATATGAATTTTGAGGATCGCTCATTGTTTAAGGTGATGAAGCGATGAAAAATAAGGGGTCCTCGGTTCACATGGGTAAAAGGAAGCAACTTCGAAAAAGCGTGAACGCTACAGGTGTGAAAGCGATCATGGTCACGAAAGACAAACGATGGTAGCAAGAGGGTGCTTATGCTCCTTAAGCGACATAACAATACGTAGCAAGGGGTCCTAGCTTCGCATGTGTGAAGCAAAGCAACTTCGGAGAAGCGTGAGCTTCGAATTGTTAGGTACAAAAAGGCGCGAGGCAGAAGCGGTTGCCTCTTTGAATTTGACTTTAAAAGATTTGAGAAAAGAGAGGAAAATAGGATAGAATAGACTTTTGCCATGGATTCCTCTCCAGATATGCTTGGCGTCCTGTTTATCTTTGTCTTCTTCTACGGTTCGCAAAAAACTGCTCTACTATTCTTTGCTTTTCTTGATTTGCTTCTTTGTTAGTAGTGTTTTTCTTCTTGAAGATGACTCATTCTTCTTGTTGGGCTTGTCTTCTCTTTTCTTTTCTACTATGATTCATTTTGTCCTTATCTTTTTTGTTTTCTATTTCTTTTTCTATTCTTTAATGCTTCATATTAGGATGAATGTTAGGACTGGACAATAATAACATGGTCTTTTGCAACCAAAGCTCATTATTATTAACGTTAATTAAAGCAGCTAAATATGAATAGATATCGCAAATTGATTTTTGTGGCAAATAGTTGAAAATTGGAAAACAAATTTGTAATTGAGGCTATCTTTTTTGTCACTTTGTTGAAATTACATTTTAACGATATTTAACTTGAATTTGTTTGGAATTCATATTGTCATAATGTTGGATACTGAAAGGGAAATCCTAATTGCAATTTTGATATAATAAGTACTAAATTTCTATATGTTAGTAGGTAATTTCTCTGTTTTTGGTAAATTCTGTGCTATATTTCGAAGAAGCATGTGCTTCGAATCTTTCTTCAAACTAGCAGTTTCAAAAGTCTTATCGCTCTCTTCCGCTTTTCACTTTTGCAACAGTGCTCTTGATAGCTTTAGATGTTATGGTGACTGACTACTGTGGAAAGCAGGTTACCCCTTCCTCTGTTTCACCTACTTTCTTGATAAAGTTAAAAAGAGCAAAAACAGAATCTAAAATGAAATGCATTTATCGAACATGTTTTAAGCTAACTGCATGTCAAGCGCTTCACTGGAGCTTGTGGTCACTCGTTCCTTGCTTATTCGAAAGAGCTTCAGATTGGATTTTGCATTATGTTCGATATTCCACTCCGGCCCTCATTAGCTCTTTGCTTGCTTGTACAAAGAGCACTCATGCCAATGCCTAACAAAACAATTAAGAAATCTGTGTGGGTTTCTCTACCAAGAACATTGCCTTCTCATGTCGATCTTCCATGTGGCCAATTGGACAGCGTCATCTTCGTTTAGTTTACTCTTTACTAGGGGATTTAACTTGTTCTATGTTTTGGCTAAGGTGGGGCTTCTGTGCTGAGGGTTGAATGTTGATCCTTGAGCACTCTTCTATTCCATTCTTAATTTTTGGCCATCCAACATCTCTTTCTTCAATCTTCTTTTGGCACGATGAGGTATCATTAACTTTATGTCCTGCCTGTCCGAGCTTTGCTGACAATTGGAACCTTGTGGGATACTCAGGCTTTTTAAGACTTAGAAGTAGATCTGTTGACTTCAATATACTATAAAAAGAAACTAGACAACCAATTGTTTATGTAATGGAAATAGCAAAATGCGCGGGTGTATAAAAAACGAGTGCTGAAATGGTGTTTATATGGTTCAAGGAAGCGTTTACCTGAGCTGAGATCAAATGCTGAAATGGCGTTTAAATGGTTCAAGGAAGTGTTGAGTTGGGCCGTATGGGCTCCCAGGCTTGATTGCTTCTTTTTTTTTTTTCCCAACCATCAGTAGTTCCTTATGATTCTAGGGGTTTTGGATAGGAAGAGGGCTAAGCTCAGCTCAAAGATGCTAAATGAGGGCACATTTGACGTTGGCGTCTCCTTTGCATACTCTTGAATTTAGCTATTTAATAGATTTCAATTTTTTCTAAGTTACTTGCAGTGGAGATGGCAACTTAAGTATTTTCCTGTGCATTTTTTCGGTAATGTCTGTTTGTGGTGGTTTGTTGTTATTGAGTTGCTTTCTGTTTTATTTCTGCTTCTACCTGTAAGATTGTTATGCAATGAGTTGTTCAAGCCACTTTCTCTTTGGTTTCGACTTAAGTGTTTCATCAGCTGAATTCGGATATGGTTACTGTTTTGACAGGAAGCAGAAAATACCAAGGCTTTCAGAACACCAGAGCATTGTCGCTACAACTTGGTGGGCATTTTCCATTTAATACTGACATCTGTTGAGTGAAAATTTATATAGCGCACACTTTGCACATCTTACTGGTCCAATAATGTTATTCCGATTTGATGATGTTTCTATGCCATCCAATACCTGTTTCCAGTTGCTCATAGAACATGTGAAAAAGAGATTTAAATGAAACTGATAATACAGCTATGTTGTCTGTGAAAGTTGTCTGATTAATTGTGCTTTCAATATCAACTATGCCCGTTTGAATTCTCTAAGCACCTGCGGGGCGGGGCGGGTTTCAGCTTATGCGGGGCGGGGTGGATGGACGCGGGGCGGTGCGGTGTGGGTTGAAATATTTTAGCTTTCCGTAAAAATATGGTTATATAATTCTTCCACTAAGCCGCTAAGCATGCTCAATCTACCTTATCCCTTTTCGGCTTTACCATATTATATTCGGTATTTATTCCCTCATTTTAAATTGATATATTACAAAAAGAAGTTGCTATATTTTGTTGGGTGAAAATCATTTTCCCTCCCGAAGTTTGCCTTAAAAATTAACCTCCCTCCCTAACTTTCAACATTAGTCATCTTCCCCCCTTACATCAATATCCGGTCATCGACTAGCAACTTTGAAATATTTGACCCCTCTCTCTAACATAAATTTATATGTAAAAATTTATTAAAAACGCAATGTTAGTTGCATCATAAATTTATTAAGGTTCAGACCTACTATTTGTTGTGATTTTAATAAATTTTTACATATAAATTTATGTTATGCATCAAAAATACTGGATTGAAATGAACCCGATAATTAAACTCTACAGTCGTCCCTGGTTATAAGACTAGAATAAAAAATAATAATAATAATAATAATGAAGATTATTGTAAAAAAGTTTCATCTATTCTGTTAGCTTTATAAAAGAGACAGAAATGGAGTAAAAAGATCAATAAAGATGAAGTATCACAAACGGCAGAGAACTCTATCAATAACAAGGGAAGATGACTAATTTTGAAAGTTAGGGAGGGAGGGAGGTTGATTTTTAAGGCAACTTCGGGAGGGAAAATGATTTTCACCCATATTTTGTTTGCATTTTCAAAAAAGTTTATGCATTTAGAATTTTAGATCATCAGTATTAATACAAAACCAATATTCGCTTAATTGAGTTAGCTTTAATTATCCAGAAACTGATGCTAGGAAGATTTAAAATGGTCAGTAGAGGTAATAGCAAAACGTTTTACTCCTTTAATTTTTTGAGTTTGCTTTCTTTCTAACAATGCTTTTGATTCTTGCTTTTAATAGCCTAAAATAAAGAAAACAACTAGCTCTGTTAATACAAGTTAACAGAAAAACGTTGGAAAAAAAATACTACTCATTAAAAGTTTTTTTTTAAAAAAAGAAATTTTTTTACTATGCGATGTGAGTTAATGCGGGCGGGGCGGGTTGAAGCCTTTACGGGTTAAGGCAAAACCCGCCCCGCCCCACTGCCATTTCTACCCGAATACACATACTTCAAATGATATGAAAGTTGGTTCACCCGAGAATTATATGGCTTTAAACTCGAACATGTTCATATTTAAATCCCATAGTCGCCAATCTGCTCATCAATAATACTCTCCTAATGGAGAAGCATATGACTTGTTCTATTGGCTCTATCCTTGAGATTGAAACCTCCCAATATCCTTGAGATTTGGGTGTTCAATCTTGCTATATCTCTACCAAAGTCTGATATACTAGCAACATTGTAATTCCATATTTACTCAACAATCCCAAGAAAGCCACGCTAGGGAGGCCGGGTAAAGAATGCATGTCAAAACACAACTACTCCTTTAATTAGTAAATGGCCTAGTAGTAATGCAAAATTACACAAAACTGATGGAGTATATTAATATGGAAAGATCAAATCCATAAATCTTAAACTGAAACAAAAATCGAATTGAGACAAAAATTATTCACACCCCTATACAAGTCTCACGTGGACAGTGTTTGATTATCCATTGCTGCGTGGGGAAAGTAGGAATAGTATTTCCCCCAATCACCTATAGTAGCATATATAGCAGCAGTAATATAAGACAAAAGGCCTCAAGTAGGAGTAATAATTAAATAAATACTAGTATAGTACTGGACATGGCTTTTGAATTTATTGAAAGCCTGTTCTCTTATTGACTTACCCTAACAGGTTTTTGCATCATTCCATTATGCAGGAATTTTCATCATTCCCTTCTTAAACACTCCCAATCCCAATCCCAAAGAAACTCTTCTCTTTGCTATGCATTTCAAACTTATTTTTAATACTTCAAACTTACAATGTAAAATATCTTTTACTATTTTAACATACATGCAAATTACAATGGTCATAAGAATTTATAAGTAATTATCCTATAAGTGAATTGATTAATATTCTTTGCATATTTTGTACAAGTCAAGTATAAAAACCTGCTTGGCCTTTATTACCCTTGAATATGGTCAATAAAGATAGAGTTGAGATGAGCTTTATTACCCTCTCTTGCTTTGATCTCAATGGTACGGTCCAGATTTTATGCACAGGAGTCTCTTCTTTTTGACCTATTTTCTTTGTACAGTTCTCTTTTTATCTAGCTTTACTTGCAAAATTGACATTTGTTTTTACTTTTGGCAGTTCACAGGGCAAAGTCAACTTAACATGAAACATTGGTTGATTTTTCTTTACCAATAATAGCCCTATAGTGGCATCATTTCAAGTCTTTCAAGTTCAACTTGACTTCATTATTAAAGCCAAAAAAAAAAAATTGAAAAAGCTTCAATATATATAAAGTTAACACGGATATGCTCCGTTTTTTCCCCGAGAAAACATTACCTTTAAACTAGGAAAGACATTTGTTGAGATGAGCGTAATTTGTTTTGACGATTAACAAATATTTTGCAGAAGAACCAGGTTATTTGACGTCTGTTGATCAGAAGTTAAAGACTGTTTTTCAGTGCAAGTTGATTTGAGCTAGAAAAAATGACTCTTGTTGATAAATAAATTTTCGTGGGAATTTGTGTTCAAAATGAATTGATTAATTATGAAAATATTTGCATGGAAAGGAAGATGCCTAAAGGAGTCTTTAAAGGAAAAAAATAGAATCTTTTTAGGATTTATTTCCTTAATAGGTGGCCAATTTATTTTAGGTATCGAAGCTAAAATTGGAAAAGAATTCGGTCAGCCTCACTCCTATATAAAGCATCATATTGTTGTAGTTGAAGACACATGCTATTCGCACAGTTTCAAGAAACTACCCAAGGCAAATAGCAATTCAGAGCAAGAAATGCTTTCGAGGATTCAAGTTGTTCAATTGAAAAACATGTTCATGAAGATGAAGATGTTGAAGTTCTTTAGTTGGTTAGAGTTGTCAATTATTCTTTACTTTTAACACCTATTCTGTTTATTGAGAAGTATAACTCTAGGTAAACAATTTTTGAGAGTTTGTTTAATCGCTTTCTAAGCTAGAGTTAGTTTTGAAAAGGGTAGCCAAAGTTGAGTTGATTGTAGGGATTAAGATACTATAGTTAGTCCCTTTGGTTATTTAGTTGTAACCTAATCGCTCCTTGAAATTAGTGAAATTTGAGGCAAATCCTACAAGGATAGTGATGATTTTGTACTCCCTTGAGCAATAAGGTTTTCCACATAGAATTGTTGTGTAGTTTAATTTTTACACTTCACTTTCTGCTTGAAATTACTTAGGTTAAAGAATCAAGTTCTTCAACAAGTGAAAATTAGGTAAGACACTATTCACCTCCTCTTTTGTGTCTAGGCGTATCCCAAAATAACAATATTCGAACTTAGTACATTTTAATTAACTCGTGATCATGAAAAAACATGGAGATTAGTGTATTATAAATAACAATGGATAAGATTAAGGTGACTGTAGCCATGAAACAAAAATAGGATCCTCCAAAATAACCGCGTATTTTAAGCTAGCGTTTAGATATAAATTTGGTTAAAATTTGAATTTTTTTTTTTAAGTTGTGTTAAAAAATAATTTTTGAAAGTTAAAATTGTGTTTAGACATGTATTTTATTAGAAAAAAAGTTGAAGTTTTGTGAGTGGAAGAAAAAATTTCATCCAAAAACTATCGTAAACCAGATTTTAGGAACTTGAAAAAGAATTTCAATTTTTTTTTCAAATTCTGATTATATTCCATGAGCAAACAACAACAACAACCCAGTATAATCCCACTAGTTGGAAGTGGAGGGTGCTTACCATCAGAGCAACCCACCTTGTCCAAACAATATTCCATGAGCAAACAATGTTTTTAAAATTTTTTGAAAAAAAACTGCCAAAATCTGTAACGGGAGCTAAGCATTACCAAGTATTATCATTTTACTAAAATGAGTCTAACTGAAGAACATATTGATTGTTTATGTCTTGCCAAATAAAGCTAGAGGAAATTAGGTACGTTTCAATAGCCAGTGACTTGTGAAGTTTCGTCCTAGTTTTGGTTTGAATAAATATATTTTCATCAATAGTGGGTGCAACTTCACAGAATGGACACAATTAAAACCAAAATAGAGACTTTTTTATTTTCTCTTATACTTTTGGTGGATGCATTTTGACTAACTTTTCCAAATAGATATACTGTAGCCAACGTTTTTGGATACTCTGATCGAAGTGGGAAAGAACAAAAAGAACTTTCCTTTTCTGAATACATACACATCGAAGAAGTAAGAATAAAAGGTGCTCTTTCGTCTCAACTTATTACATCTAGTATTTGTTCTATGCTACTATATATGTTTTCAAATTAATTGTTCACTTCTTTAATTAAGATTCAATTTGACTAAATAAATAAAACGATTACCATTTACCAACACTTTTCCCTTGTTCTTAAGAAACTATACATTTATTTGAATTTATTATTTTTATATACCAATAATATAAAAAAATTTACACTATCGGGTAATTATAATATTGGTGGATATTAATAGTCCGAACAATATTTTAGAACTTTTGAAAATATTAAAACTTGTGTCAAAGTATAACTCAATTAAAAAGTTTAATGACCTAAACTTGTACTACCCTACGTATAATAATTAGATGTCAATTTTGGAATATTATTTCCTCCAATCCATTTTATATACTTCATTTGTCCTAATTTATGTAACATATTTTCCTTTTTAGTTGTCATATAAAGAAAAATGTCATATTTTTTTCACTTTTTCTTTAGAAATAATTTAACTTTAAACTTCTCATTTTACCATCAAAGATAATATATAATACTATGTAACTTGTTTTAGACCATTATTTCAAAAAACAAATCTCTTTATCTATATTTCCAATCAAACACTATCATATAAAAATAAAATTAAGGTGATGGAATAATGATATTTGACTGATACAAAATATAAATAAAAAGAAAGGCTTTTAACACATAAAATAGATATAGCATAACATATTAAAAATACTCTTAATATTTGTGGTGTTGATCATGTTAGGTCATCGTAATATTTATTGCCATATAAATTCTATTCGTGGGGTTTAGTGATGATGACGAAAATTGGCATATTAAGATTTTAGTGAGAGAAACAGTAAGAAAGTCAAAGTAGCAGTCGAGGAGTAGCTAGCTTAGCCCAGCAGTTGGTAGTATTTGTATATATGGTGTAATCATTTCAAGATAGAGAGAGAGAGTATCAGAAACGTACTTTCCCTTTGCAGAATTAGAGAGGAGAGACTGAATTTACAGAGGAATTTACCCTTTTCCTTTTCTCGTGATATCTCTGCCTCTACTCATAATTATACCTACACTACGTTGTTTCTTTAGACCTAGACACTGGAAACTAAAAGACAGCTCTTTCCAAAGGCCAAAGCAAATTATATTGAAGTTGCATAAGGAAAGAGTTTCTTTTTCTTTGCTTTAAGTTTTACAACTTCAGGTGAAAATTAAACTGTATGGTATGNATATATATAATGGGAAACTGTGAAAGGAATAATGGTGAAGTGAGGCAATATACGAGATCAAAAGTTCCTCGTTTGAGATGGACACCCCATCTTCATCAATGTTTTCTTCTTGCTATTCAAAAACTTGGAGGCCATGACAGTAAGCTCTTTCCTCTTCTTCATCATTGAATATCCATGTAAAATTCGCAGATTTCTAGTAGAGTGATGTTTTTTTCTTCTTGTTAATTAATGCTTTTTTGATCTGTCTAATATGTAGAAGCTACACCTAAGCTTCTTCTTCAGATGATGGATGTGAGAGGACTTACAATATCTCATGTCAAAAGTCATCTCCAGGTATTTATTCCAAGAATGAACATTCCTTTTTCCCCTTCTGTTTTCTAACTTATTAATTACTATGTGAATTCATCGTTTTTGTATATTTGTTCCCAACAGATGTACAGAAGCATGAAGAGTGATATCAACTGGCAAGGTATATATTCAAGACTCAGGACTTCTCTAATTATATATATACTATGTATTGTTTGTGGAGAAAAATTATTCCAGACTTGATGATCCCACATGCATTTATATATAGAAACTTGTATGTTTTTTTGTTGTTGACTATCAAGCAGGAGAAAGAAGCAAAAGTCAACATGCAGGAAAATTACAGTCCCTAGAAGATGATCATTCTCATCATCAACAACAAGAAGTATGTGTTAAACAAGAAAAAGTTTTGACATATCATTCATGTTGTAGCCCCACCATTAAAAGATCAGAATCTCCATTCCTTTACAATATTCCTCTTCTGCCCACTAAAAGGTGAGTTTTTTTTGTAAGCTTTATTTATGCCTTCAGAGTTCTAGCTAATTAACAAACTCGCTCGATCTGTACGATTTTTTTAATATATTTTTAACTAATACTACTACTTTTTATATAATTTCTATATATGTATTATTTCCAGTTTGACTCTGGAAATTCACGCTATGATATACATAAATTGAGATAAAGGAAGTAACAAAAAAGGATTTAAATTTCTGTGATAGACAACTCAACAAAATATTACTTAATAACCTGTTATAATAAATTAAACTACGTAAATATATTTATTCATATATCATTAAAATCCTTGTCTTTATATATGGAGTATTTGTTTAATGATGAACTACGAATGGAGACTACAAGTTGTAAATCAGAGAGTCTGCAAAATTGCAGGGAGAGAATACGTGAAGCAGTAACCAATTATCCGTATAGTAGTGATGATTACATGCAGACTATTAATTATACTGAGAAAAGTGGGGTAAATAATGTTATTAAGAAAGGAATTACTGGTTTCAGATGGCAACAGATTTGTGATACACAAAGAGAAGCAGTAGTTCCCGTGTCACTCCATGTTTTTCAGAGTTCTAATCTTCTTACCAATGCTGTTCAAGAATCTGAAAATTTTAAGGTACATATTACCCTCCGCTCTCTCCCCCACTTTAACTGTATTTCAACCTATGTTTCGTGCCTTATATGTTTTAGCTTATTAATCTTTTTTGTTAGTACTATGAAGAATTATATTGTTCAAATGTCACCATCTCTTCTAAGAATTTAAGTTTTAAGAGAGAGCATACCTTTATATGTTTTATTGTATGCAAAATACATAAGTTACCCCAACTATAAATCAAATCTCTTCCGATCAAAAAAATTATCTTACACACTTAACCTTTTCAGAGGGTGTCTAATACATATTTTTGGCTACGTGGCTCGCGCTGCTTAACGAAAAGAAGTGCACGTAAAAGTTATAAATATTGTGTCAAAATAATATTTTTCTTTATTTTCCATTTTTATCAAATGAAAAACGCTGCCAAACTTAGCGTAAGTTGGTGATTATATATGGGTATATCAGGACAAATAAGATTGAGAATGAAGTTATTCAGGACAAGGTGAGTGTGACCCCCATAAAGGATAAGATGTGGGAAGCGAGACTTAGATGGTTTGCGCATGTGAAGCAGAGAGGCGCAGATGCACCAGCAAAAAGGTGTGAGAGGTTGGCCTTGGTGGTCTGAGAAGGGGTAGAGATAAACCAAAGAAGTATTGGGGAGAGGCGATTAGGCAATACATGATGATGCTTCAGCTCACCGAGAACATAACCATTGGTTGATAAAAGGGTAGGGAGGTCGAGAATTAAGATAGAGGGTTAATAGATAATCGACCGCTTTTCTTTTCAATACCAAAAGTATTAGGATAATCTTGTATTTTCTTATTTATAGATTTCTATTAATACTTGTTTCTTTCATTTTGGTTTTTTACTATGTTGTTGATGGGGAAAGCGAGGCTGGTTCGACCGCTTTGCTCTTTATTTTTTCTGTTGAAGTATGTACGTCGATATCATATTTATTAGTACTACTATGTGTTGGTCAGTTTTCGACATGAACAAACATGTTGAAGAGGAATTCAATGCTGCAATCTAGTCTTTTTACCTAAACTTCTATATTTTATTTATAGCAAAAACTATGCTTTAATTTGATCATATTTTGGGTAAAGAAAATTTCTGATGTTGGACTTGAAATTCTCTCGACTAAAATCCCAAATGGATATTAATGCATTTTGGAGCATTGGAGTGGAAATTAATATGGAAATAAAAGCAACAGTGACTTTATAACAGTGGGCCACCTCATTTAAGAAGAAATGAGTGAAACCTATATGGTACTACTGTACTTTTCTGCAAGGTTACATATCAAAATACAGATATTTTTGCCATTTAATGATACATAACCTAATTTTAGTAGAAACCTTTTGACTGTTAATTAATTACTATATCCTATCATAAGCTACACAAACACACTTTTATTTGCCCCTTTTATAGAAACTTAGGGTCCACCAAACTGTATAGAGAACCTGGATGTCTATCAGTTTCCACAGAATGCACACAATAAGAGATAACTAAATGACACAGCAGAGTTTTACGTGGAAAACTCTCAGCTCACGGGATTTAAAACTACGACCTACACTGGTAGGATTTAAACTTCACTAACCGAGCAACTTTTAGATTACAACCTATTGTAACCTAGGAATTAAACTCTTAATCTTTCACTCGCTTGTAATAACTCTATTACAAAGCTCACAACTCGACTAACTCTAGCCAAGACACAAACACAAGGTTTATGATTTACAAATAGTTTCCTACACAATGCTTCTAGTTAAGCTAAGTAGGAATTACAAGTAAATCACTCTAACAAAGATGCAACACAACTAAGGACATATAATAACACAATGCTGGAAACTGGTTCTTTGCCTGGAAGTCACTTGCAAGATGGCAACACACTTGAGAGGAAACTTGATTAATTCTCGGATATGCTTGTGTGTGTTTTTCCTTTGCTTTATGATAATAATATCCAAGTGATGTCACTTGGATGATGCAAGCAAATATCCGGTACAAGGCATTCCCCATAAAGTGACTGCTGCACTATTCACACAGTTGCCTGTGTGCAGAGGAACAGTTGCAGCGACTTTACAGTTGTGAGAAGTTGACTGGTACAGTCAGCTAGGGAACTAATGTCAATCTGTTCCCTTTGTCGTTTCTTTGACTCTAGCTGTTGGAACTTGTGCCCGATTTGAGATTTGTTGTGCTTTGGCACCTTGAGGATGTGTAACAGGTTTCCAATCTGGTTCTTATCATAAAGTTTGTTAGATCATCAAAATATGAAAGGGCACACATAACTTATCACCCTTCTAACTCCATGAGCTAATATATATACTGTATAGGGGCATGAGATAAATCCTTCAGTTTTTCTTAGTACATTTCATTCTCATTTCATCATGAGATCTACTCATTTTTAAGGGATTAATATTTAGAATTCAAAAGGTTACATATTTAATGAATTGCATTTTGAATATGTTGAACTCTTGAAAAGCTAAAATATTTCCTACAGAAAGTGTGGAAGAAAAAAAATAAGAAGAGAAAAGCCTAATCTTTAAATGTGGAAAACTAAAACCTCATAATATAATTTTTTAGGGTAATTTTTCGACGAAGGGTGTTCAATTGATCGCCCTTCACTCTATGTTAACATGTGCATTTTTCATAAATTTGATGGATAATTTTGTTACCGATCAGTTGTCCATGCAAGAGGACGAGAACTGGAAATCATCAAAGAAGCGTAAATTTGAGAGGTTGAGAAAGATAAAGAATGGAGAAGAAGAAGATAGTTGTAGATTGTCATTGTCTCTCTCATTGCAACATCCTTGTGCTCAAAGAAGCAGTACTTCAGCTTCTACAAATGAGGCAATCTCAGACTGTAACCACTGGAATTCTTCCTCAGAAAAGCATAGTCTCAATCTTGACCTATCTATTGCCTTGTCGTGACTCGTGAGTAATGCAAAATAAAATCTCTTAACTTGCAAATTGTACCCTTTTCATATTTTAGGTTCTTAATTATGCTCACTTTACTAGAATTATCTCTTCTCTATGTTTGCTCTCCGCACAACAAGAAGATTGACCGGAGGCATATGTAGGGAGTATTAGTAGTTTATAAGTATTAGCGACATCATTCTTTGATCTTAGTGTTGGTAATCTGTATTCAAAAATAGAAAATCATGTAAAGTAAAAGAGAAATAGAAATGCATAGGAAGAATAAAATTAAATTCGAGTCCACTGAATTCACAGTGTGTCTTTAAGGAATTTAATCCCCTCACTGTTGCTCAAGGTATACGGATTAATTCCTCTCAGGATAGAACGGAATAACTATTCTGTGATAGCGGCACTTCAAATCACAGAACTTCAACGAACTCAACAAACGGAGCAAATCATAATTGACACTTATGTTTATTTAGAAATTAATGCAACAGTGTAGAAAAGAGGGGAGAAGATTCCATATTTTTCATATCTTAAAAATGATGCCAAGCCTCTAAATTTATAGACAAAGAAAGGGTGAGATGGACAGGTGCAATCCAAAAGGTGACTCTTCTATTTTCCATTCACACCCTTTAATGAAAAAACGCAACATTTAGTTCATATTTTAGTAAAGTATCAAGTTATTCTTTATCTACTTCAAATTTCCGTACAAATTGAGCAGGATGATTCAATTTGAAACTCGAGTAGTATTTGGACAAAGGGGACTTATTTTGAAAAACTAGGAAGCCAACACATGGCCAAAAGGGGCAAGTACCATAGGAAAGGAAGAAAACATATGCACAAAGAAGTTTGGATATTAATTAATCTAAGAAAGAGAGAACGTTACCTCGAGAATAGAAAAGCTCTCATTAAAGCCTTTTAGGTAGATTTGCCCTCAAATACTTGCAATTAGTCAAAAACCAAAGATATATTTTCACATCAAACATCATTTCCAAATTATTGTCGAAGGCCCTACATGAATTATTAGACCTGGTTCTTGGGTATCCAATGGTCTTCTTTTCAAATTTCAACAATTTGGTGAATCATTTGGTCCATAGAATTCCCACAAGGTAGCAGTACTATCCCCACACTAGAAAGGATTAATTTTATTTTTATAATCAATAAAGTACTCAAGTTTCAAAGATAGTGAAACTTTGCAGTGTGAAATTAACCTACACTTTGGCCAAGTTAGACTTTTATCCACGTATAGATAAAACAACAACAATTCAGTATAATCCCATAAGTAGGATTTGAGAATGGTAGAATATATGTAGTTTTACCCCTACTCTGGAAGGGCAAAAAGACTGTTTCCGATAGACCCTCGGCTAAAGAAATAATAGAAGAAACATTGATAGCAAGTAATATCAATATAAGGTATTAGAAAGCAAAACCCAAGATAGCAAAAGAAAGTATAAAGAAGTACTAATAGTCGGTAATAATAATACAAGATATGAAATGATAGCAAACTAAGGGCGTTCGGAAGGCAAGTAACAACAGTACAAAATATGTGGTACTAGCAACCTAAGGATAAAAGGGATACCAAACCAACACTAATACTCTAGGACTAAGGAAGACATAAAGAAACGCTCGACTACCTACTAACCTTCTATCCTAATTCTCAAGCTCCACACCCTCCTATCAAGGGTCATGTCCTCGATCGGATAGCTCCAGTTGTGCCATGTCTCGCCTGACCACCTCTCCCCAAGACTTCTTTGGCCTATCTCTACCCTTCCTCTTATCCCCATGGTCAACCTCTCACACCTCATGACTGGGGCATTTGTGCTTCTCGTTTTAACATGCCCAACCATCTTAGATAATACCTTTCTTTATGGAATAATTCCCCTTTATACACTTCTTTTTTTTCATCCCTTCATAAACTTCACCTAAGCAAAAAATGTACGTACTTGTTTGGTGTGAATTACACAAAAAGGGTGTAACTCGATGCAAATCACTAATTTCTACGTGTGGTAACTTTCATCTAAACTTGTACTCTTAAGTAGAATGCTTTCTTTAGTGTTAATCAATTAGTTGCTAATATTGTATACAATTGCTATTTTATTGCTTTAATTCAATTCCAAAATTTGGATTAACTGGAAGTATTGTCTCACATCAAGGTTGCGAGACAGCAAATTTTAATTAATTCTTTAAGTCCAATTACACTTATTAAACTTAATTCAGCCGACCGTTAGGCCGCGTTTTTTTTTTTTTTTAGTTAATACCCTAAAATCCCCTTAAACTATCATATTTTTGTCGGTTTCCTATTTAAACTATTCGGTGTCCCCAAAATCTCTCTGAACTATATTGTCCTTTATATTAAAACCTCCTCGTTGCTGACCTGGCATAACGCGTGCAAACACTCGCTTGAGAGCGCGTGGCAGCTGAAAAAAGCCATCAAAATGGCCCACATGACATAAAAAATGCATAATTAGCCTAACCCTCTTTCACATTTATTTTTTTACTAAAAATTCTCCTTATTTAAGTTATATCCACCTTTCTTCCTCATTTTTTCACCATTCTTCCTTTTTTTATTACCTTTCTTCCTCATTTTTTATCTTCTTCATTTTTTAACCTTTTTTCTTCAGTTTTCCATATGCCGTTTCCTCCGGAAAAAGTTCCCCCTCTTTTGTTTCCTCTGAAATGATTTATTCACTTTCTTGTTTTAGTCTTCTTTCATGTCTTACATATATTGTTGAAAAAATACTAATTTAAATCTTCTTATTAAACTCAACACCTTGTAGAGAATAAAGTTGAATCTCTTGAACCTTCTTTATGTAATCTGGAATTAGAGAATGTAATTGTTGGCCAATTAATCTTTATTTGCGAAATTTTATTTTGTGATATCTTTTTTAATATAATATAAGATGATTTTTAAGAAATGCAACACTATATGCCTAAATTTATATTTTATTGTGCTACAAAGTGAATATAAATAAGGACTTATTCAATTGGAGTTAATTAGCATAAAGCACAATCATAATTAAATCTAAAATTAACACAGTATATTAGATACTATTTTAGCCAAAACTCCTAAAATCAATCAATCACCCGAGAGTTTTACATCATGAATAAACTATATAAAAGACTTTGTACAAATCATAAGTTAATATAGTTAGACAAACACACCTTTAAAAGTCCAACATGGGATTTTAATATAGAGGGGAATATAGTTCGGGAAGGGGGGGGGGGGGGGGGATACCAGATAGTTTAAGTAGCTAACTGACAAAAAAATGATAGTTTAGGCTGATTTTAGGCTGAGTTAAATAGCGACATGTAGTGCTACATGTCACATTATTTTAGATAATTAGGAGCGTGTACTAGACGCACCTCTAAGAATGCAATGAAGGGCTTTTAATATGAATGGCAACATAGTTCAGGGGAGTTTTGAGAGCACCGAATAGTTTAAGTAGGAAACTGACAAAAACATAATAGTTTAGGAGAATTTTAGGATATTAACTCTTTTTTTTCCCACCGGCCGTCAGGCCATTTAATATTGCCAAAATATGAGTCTAATTCATTGGTTTTAATTCCAAGTTCTATTTGGATATATGGAACACAACTTACTTTCCTAGTTACTGCAATTAACTATCTGCTCAGAATAAATTACTACACTGCAAGGTGTGGTCTTGAAGTGCGAGTCAATACAACACATTAAATATTTATATCTGAGAAAGACCAAATGTATCATGTACTGGTTCCCAATAGTGCAGAATCAAGTAGCAGCTCCAATCTGGCCATACACTCAATAGTAGCAACATAACAGCAGGTAATCGACATAAAATTGAAGATATGCATCCTGTTCATGGAGATATTGTTATCTTTTCTTCCCTTTCATCTCTGTTGTATCTGAGACGACTAAGGCCTTGACGCAGAGCCGAGGCTTTGTACTAACAAGCATTCGTGGAAGAACCGACACACCAACTATGGCCTTATCGGGTACTCTAGAAAGTGGAAGTACCTCAACAAGCACAGAAAGCTGCAAAAGAGAAGCTACATTCAGTACATTAAAAAGATACAGAGGAAGTGAAAGCTTATAACTTCTCACTGCAATAAATCATTTGACCTCTGGTTCTTTCAAATCCACTATCGAATCTGGGACAACTTCTTTCACTGCTGCTGCCACGACGCTAAAGCATTTGTTGCGGTCCAACAAAGCAAATACATCAGGATCGCTACAAGCTTTTCTCAGATTCTTCATCTCAGTCTCCTCAATCCCTCTCCTGTTATACCCAACTGCAAACTATAATGTCATTAGTTCTACAGATTATCCTATGTGGATCGACCCACAGAGAGAAGACAGCTCAAATTCACTGTAATGCAGCTACTGGAAATAATAGTCATGTAAGAGAACTTGGGTTTTTTTTTTCTTTTGACAAGGTAAGAAAAATTTCATTAATAAAGTACCACTAAGGTACTTCAAAAAGAAAAAGTTACAGCATTGCTTGTTAAAATTACACTCCCAAAAAGTCGAGAAAAACAGAATATTGAGTCATATTACCATACTACTCCTACACCAAAAGTATAAATTCTGTAGGCACCTGTTCTTTACATAGGAAATATGATGCTTTTGATCTTCAAAGCATCTCCTATTCCTCTCCAACCAAATAGTTCAAATGATACACAGACCATCTATATCCAATATCCTGCCACCCTCCTCCACCCCCACCCCGTAAAAACCAAAGCTAAAAATAAAAGGAGAAAGGGATAAAAACAGGGGACAACAAAAGCGAGACACTTGACGTGAACATATTTGACCAATATATTTTTAACTAATACTTTCAAATGAAAAAAGAAAATATTCAACTTGTCATTGGGTTTACTAAACTGATGGTAGTTTATATGAACCAAGATGACTTCTTAGGGCCGCCGACAAAAGAAGAAAAGGCAACGTAAAGCAGAAAAAGAAAGCAACACGAGTCTTTCAACCCTGAGTGAATGATATTTTTTAAGAAAGCCAAGGTTTACCTTAACAGTATTTCCAGTCTCCTTCTGCCTATTGGTCATAAACTGATCAACGAGCTGTGTCACAATCTTCTTAAGTTCCTTCTCCTCTAAAGGGCATGTACCTTGAATTGGTAATATCCGATTGCACCAACTGCATGACATGATTAAAGTTTTAAGCATATTAGTTTCTTTGGTATTAGAAATAATCTTCGAGAGAAGTGAAAAAGAAGAAAGGACATTTCTCCCTGGCTATAATTAAAAAGATTATGCCAAAGAAACATAATCACAAATCAACGGACCATCATGGAGAACTTATCTTCTAGCACAACAGTCAACATGGCCATAGAGGGAGCAAAATGGGTAAATGGATGAAGAAAGGCTAAGATATCAAGATAATACGTGCAAAATTCCCTAACTCATATTACATACTATTTGGCTACCTTTACTGCAAAGATCAGGTTAGAAATCCTAGCGTTATACTCGAAAAAATATACCATATCTAACATCTTCTTTCAGTAAATCAAATAGCAGTATAACTTGCCATCGCAACAAATATGCACGAATCATATATAGCAATAGTGCAATGGATTAAAAGCGAACCATTACAAATGTTGCAACTGAGTAGGTCTCCAGTTGAGTTCTTATACTTAGGGTAGTTAATAAACATGCTTAATTCTCTCATCTGCCAGAACCAAGGACATGGTTCCTAACCTTTTTACTATTCCAATTTTATTTGGAGCTTTCATTTCCCTTGGCTCAGTTAAGTTCCACGGGTTTCCCTTGGCCAAATAAAGCAGTATTACATGTAGTAGATAAGAGCTAAAAAAATTACTTTGAAAGCAACCCAAGAAAGAGAGCAACTCACAGAGGAGACTTCAATATTCCAGATTCTAGGGATTGAAAAATCTGCGAAACGATGTCAACAACTGCTGGGGACTTGCCGAATGGAAATGTAAAGAGAAGCAATCCGCTTCTTGTTAACTTAACAAGTGAGAGAATGTCACTTTTCTCTATAGAAGTGCCGGATTCTGCAAGGGGCAAACAAGAATTTTTTGACACTATTCCTTGTAAACCATTGTATCAGTAAGTCCACACATGCATCAAAATGTTGAAGATGTGTTCATACCAGAATTCACATGTTCATTAACTGCACCTTCTCCTGATCCATTGCATTCTTCATTAGCATCTTCCATGCATATTTTCCTTCTCTTAGCATCAGGATTTGAAACAATATACTGTAACGAAAACAAAAAACCCAACTACGTTTAGCAATCTTTCCAACACAGATAAATTTAAGGGAAAATGACACTATATAACCGCTCTCAAAATAATAGCCCAAAATTTTTTTTTTGAATATATATACATTCTATATGTTATATACAAATTTTATACACTTTTTCGGCTACCAAATGTAAATAGTTTCTGGCACGGGCTAAAAGTGAAAAAGCCCTAAATTTAAAATCAAAATGATTTTTTTTAAAAAGAATAAGGTTTCCATAGCCAGCCTCAAGTCCCCAGAAAAGTGCATATTACAGCTCCAATGGACAAACAATAAAAGAGGTCATTTGTCCAGAACTACTTCGGAAAAAAATATTTTAAAATACCAAAGAGTAAACAAATAACCTTTTCAAGGAGAGCTATAGCTTCTTTTGTTGCACTTTTCTCCCTCTCTGTGGAAAAAGGAAAGAATTCTTAGGAAAATCCAATAGCGACTTAAGCTATCAGAACCATTAAACAAGAATTAGAAGCAAAAGATCTGATAGGCACTGCAGTGGGATTAAGGTTTACATGATACTATTCTTATATTAGGGACAAGTGTTCCTAGGAGTTTTCACTATGTTTAGAGATTTGTATGTCAATAAATGTAGAGAACCATTAGTGTTCCTGAATCCCAAGATATTGAATGTTGAAATGAAATGAGTCTAAATAGAGTGAAGTGGATAGTGAAGACTCATATGTTACCCCCCACCAAGCTTGGGATTGAGGCCGTGTAGTAGTAGTAGTAGTAGTAGTAGTAGTAGTAGTAGTAGTAGTAGTAGTAAAAGGTTGTTGTAGGAGTAAGGGGAGAAAAAAGGAAAGCCTCCAGCATATCCAAATGCTCAATGTCAAAAGCAGGAGAAGCTTGAAAATGATAAAATTAAAAACAAAAATTGTTTTGCATTATGACAAGCAATGCTATAAGCAAAGCAGTGGAGTTATTCGCGCTATCTATTACCAGAAAATTGTTCCACGTACTAGAATAGATTCTTACCTTCCACAAAAACCCTATCCTCAGCACAGATCTTGACTTTTTTAATTGAAGGGCACCAAAGACGCATTCCTTATCTAAATACAGTAAAGACTAAAACAACAAGTAACTGATATTATTAATAGAAACTGGAGAAAGAAAGCAGCAGAAGAATCTTGAAGCTTTAACATATTCTTTTCTACCCCAAAACAACTGGTATAAGGAGCAGAATAACTCCAAATTTTCAAAATAAGGGCCTTGAACATTCCTGACAATTCAAAAGTAGTTCTCTGCTTTTTTGCTAATAATAGTGCCGTCCTAGCTAACTTGCGCTCACCTTGACTATTCCACTAGGTACCTTCTATTTTCACCAAACACATGTACCGCGTGATTCTTCCCTTCAAGGATTAGGCAAATGGGAAGAGATCACCTACCATTTTTTTCTCTAATGGGACTTGAACCCTGGTCTCAAAAGTTTTCACCCACTTCATTGACCACTAGGCCACACCTTGAGTAAAGTAGTTCTATGATTTATTTTACATGATTTCCTGAGTTCGTAAAGTAAAGCCAAAAAACAAGCACTACTTGAATGCTGTACGTAATCCCAATATGCTGTCCGTAAAACATCAAAATTAAGAAGGTATTTTTTTTTTACTTTCATCTTGTCCTGGTGGAGAACTTATAAATACATTTCTATCTAGTTGTTCTATTATACCTCTTACCCTCCTTCTATGCTGATATTTCCGACTCTCGGTTATCTACTTATCTTTTAGCTAAGCTCTTTTCTTTGTACGGTTCTGTTCTCTATAGCTCAAAACTCATTTCTAGCTCCTTCCTATTGATTAATAAAATTCTCAAGAATGAAATGTGCTATATTCTTGTAACACTCTTTTCCCCGCATAGTAGATTCTAGTCCTTCTATCCTACTTTATTTATATTGAAGTTTAATCAATACATTTGGATCCAAACTTTCTTCCATTGTCCCAGACAGTTGCCCTTGGTGAATAAAATGCTTAGGCTCCAAATTCAAGTTAATTGTGTGAGGTTAAATATTTCAACTTAACAGATGAATTATGACATGCAGTAGCAAATATGAAACCCGCCCTGAAAATGTCTAATAGGAACGATGCATCAGATTACAAAGAATATTTTACAACTTTCTCCTTGAGTAGAGTAGCTGAATTTCAATGAACTTCGTACAAACTAGCAAAAGCACACCAATACTAACAAACCCTAGAAGTAGCTTAACTTCCTGAGTTTAAGATATTGTCACCTTCTTGCTTTTTCCATATACTGCCCAGAACAAAATCTTTGAGTTAACTTTGCACGAAACATTACCCAACTAACAACTGTTTCAGAAAGAAATATACATAATAACTAGCAGAAGAAGGTTCCCTAAAGGTATACAAATTCCAACAGACAAATAATACCACATAATTCTTTTCAGAGTTTAAGCTTCTGCTAAAACCAATAAAAGAAAGAAAATTGCACACATTTTAGCTAGCAAGCTTACAACTTTTACTTCGCAATTACACGAAGGAATCTAGTGAATCTTTATTCAAAAGAACACCATTTGCCACACAATATCCGTTCCCTAGCTTATATACTTGAAAAGCTAAATCAAGTTTCATTCAATTAACTATTCCTCAATCCTAAACTAATCCTATGTATCCAATCCACTCTATTCGAGCCCGTTTTCATTGCAATATTAGTACATAAATATTCAAGAATAAGAGGGAAAAACACAGATGGGAAAGTGAGCAAAATAGGAGGGGAGTAAACTAACTGATGGGGCAAGTGATGAGAAAGGCAGAATGGGAATGGCGAAGGAGGGAAGAAGAAGCCTTGTAATCGAAACGAGGGATGCTTATCACTGCTGAGTGCTGCTCCCATGGCTTCATCGCTTCTCCTTCCTCTTTTTCTTCTTGTTCATCACCATCATCTTTGTCTCTTCCTTCTACAATTGTGGTTCCCACTTCCTCCTTGCGTTCATCTTCAGCCATGTTTTCTGTTTTGCTGAGAGAAGAGGAGGCGCTTCACTTGGGGCTGTCTGCTAGGGGAAAGGTTAAACCCTTGGGCCTTTGCGAGCTAAGGAAATTCAGCAAAATTTTAATCTGCTCTTTGGGTTATAATCACTTTTCCCATTTGGTAAACAAAAAAGTAGTACTATTTGTTTATGCAAAATAGTGAAAGATCAATAAACTCGCAAAACCTCAACTTAATTATTTTGAGCTTAATAAGTGTTAAGTACCTTTTGATGTCAACTAGATTTCTACTACTTTGTTCCTATTATCGTTTCTAATTTTCAAAATACCTTTTCCATACAAACTCTAGTCCTAGCTCTCTCTTTATCTCATTTTGTCGTTCGGCAAAACTGCAAAATCAATTTTACTCGTGATGTTCAAAAGAATCGTAAAATAAATATTCAATAAATTTATTCAAGTGGTAATTTGACAGATTTATTCGATAAGATATTACCAACCTCAATATTTGAGAAGTTAATATGTAAAATTAAAATTTCGAAATAACAAGTGAAGTTTTTAAAATATGCGATATACTTTTTTTAACTAAGATTTTGTCCTATTGGATGTTCCTTTTATATATATATATATGTGTGTAAATTCTTTTTTTATTGAGTTTTTCCTAATAAGATTTAATGAGGCACATAATATATTATTGGACATCCAAGGAGAAATGTTCTAAACATATTTGATTTATGTGGATATTCATGCATTTTATTCAATGTGCCATTTAGATACATTTACCTATTGTTTACCCGTAAAACGGTACAGTTGAATTTATATGTGGTTTATAGACAAGCGAACCAATTCGATCCCAAAATGATAAATAAATTAAATAAGAATGTAAGACTGCGTTGAAATCGAGATAAGACAGCATAGATCTTGGTTTCGGGAGCAGAGCTTCTGAAGGCAGTAATAGCGATATTAATAAGCAAGAAAATAAAATATTATTGAGCTTTGAACAGTATATAGAATAAGTTTGTCAGAAAATTCATGTCCATGCAATGACTATTGAACTCGCTATTTATAGCAGTGTTTTAAAACGCATTTTTGGGGCAAGCTCTGGGGCGAGGCGTACCAAAAACGCCCCGAGGCGATGGTGCGGGGCGAAGTCTTAAGAAGCGTATGCCCAGCAATTTAGGGCATACGCCCGGGCGTTTGAGGCGCGTTATTTTAGTGAGGCTTAAGCCCCATAGACTTTTTCAAATTAAAATAAAATTTGTTGAATAAGTCATTCACATAATACCCAAATTTTTAAAAGTCAGCTTGGTAATTACTCAAAAAATTTTAAAAAAAATTGAAATTTATTAAATTTAAAAGTCAAGTTTTTTTTTTATTGATTGAAGCCTTAATTCATGTAATAGCAGAAAAAGTACTTTTAGTAGCAATTATTTAGTGACAATAAGTTAATTGCTGAATGAAAAAGTACTGGCTAATGAGCATTGGCCAGGAAAATATACCTTTTACCCGCAGTACAAAAGAATGACCACTAAAGCACTAATTGAAAGTGAAATTTTCAAATTTGTCCCTCTAATTTTTTCGACATCAATCACCTCTTCCCTCCAATTTTACTGATATCATATGTGTAATTTTACTATCGCCATATTAAATGCTAAACTCTTGCAATTGAAATCTGATTATTGTTCTTTGTACGGTGGTATTGAATCTGCTTGGTGCTTTTGCATTCTTGTGTTTGATTTAATGATATTTTTATTTGCTTTCATGGTTATTTTACTTCCCACACTGATGGTGCGAAAATATATTTTGTAATTTAAGTGTTCGATGAAATGCTTTTGCAGACTTTCTGACTCTTGCCTACCATTTTTATGTTGATTTCAAATGTTTCGTAAATCTTTGATTGTTTAATATTGTTTGATAGTTGAACATTTGTCCAATATTAAGTGTTTCAAACAAGGTGGAGGTGATAGGAGCTATAAAGTTGGCTAAAAGTACTAAATCTTGGATATTTCCTATTTCTCCTATTTTAATTGTCCATCTGTCTCTTCTGGTTGCACTGCTTTTGAGTTTTTTGGGTTAATGTATTTGATCATAATTTCACGTTGTCAGTAGGTAAGAATGCAAATTAGTTCTTTTTCATCAATCTAAAAAGCATGTTCACGCTTTCCTTCTTGGTCTTCTTACGGTTGGCTTTCATCTTTTATCTAACTATTTATTTACTTATCTTACATTTTCATCATTTCTACAAAATACTATGACAATTCTTGGGGCCAAAATTATTAGAAGATGGGGTAATAAGAAGAACATTGACGAGCAGGCATTAGATGCTGTTGAGAATGGTGTTTCAATGGGTATCTAGTTTGATTGAGGTCATCTGTTTTTAATTGTAGTTATCTTTTTTCTATTTAAAATTTCTTTGCCATACAGAGTGTATTTATGAATTAGAAGATTGTTATGGTTTAATTTAGTACTTATCATATGATATATATGGTGCTCCGATATCAAGAATTGGACTTTACTTAGCAATAGAAGAAGAATATTATTGACTGCTAACGTTATTTGCCTCTGGCAGCTCATCATTAAGTGAGTAGTTCCATTTTTGGTTATGCCAAGAAATTAATAACTGTATATTCCTGTAAGGCAGAGAGTCCTTTTTTCTTGGTTATTTGCTGCTTGTCTTTTATCTTAATTTTAGGAGCAAGAATTTCAAGAGTAATAAATAGCTAAAATATCATGTTTGACTGTGTAGAACAGGATTGCAGTATCCGAATTGAGAAATGTAATTAAGCTTTTACATGTAGCTCTATACATGACCTTAGTTAACTTTTAGACTAAGTTTTGAATCTTTTCGATGTCTTCTTCAATCTCATTTTTGTAGAGAAGTTTTCGAAAATAATAATTAAGAAATTACAATTTTCTTGTGTCATGTTTTCTTGGTTGTGCTGCTGGTAGTAGGATATTTCTGCAAGCAGAAGTATCATTATACTCAAATTATTTATTTCCTATTTTTACTTGACCTTCAAACATTATCCAGGTTATAATTTCACTGAAGAAGGGAGCTGCATCTACTGAAGTATGGCAAAAGAGAGAAGCCCAAATTCTGCCCTCTGAGCTTATCCTTAGTAGTGTATTTCATGGAACATCTCTTGTGCTTTTCAACCCTTAAGGAAATTCTCAAAATAAATAGTATCGTATTTGGAATATGTATCCATAGAATTAATTGAAAAACTTGTCATTCTCATTGGGAACTGAATAAAATGATCTTTTTACTATGCTATTGCTAGTTTCTGAGGGACCAACATTAGTAACTTGCCTATGATATTGTATAATCTCTTGAACTGCTAAGTAAAGTTGTCCTTCGCTGAATCCATTGAAAAGATTTTCTTATAAGCTGATTTCCAAATTCATATCTTCTTCCTCATGTTAATGAACTCATTTTCCATACTTGTAACATGGAACTGTTCACTTCAAAAGTATATAACCAACAGAACATAAATACCTATGGCAGACACGTATTGTTTATATAAAATGGTAGCATCTTGAATTCTTTGTCATATGTAGCTCTTTTTTTTTTTCACAATGTTACATCTAAGTTGTATTCTAATACTACAAGTCTCATTTGCCACATTACCTAACTCTTTTATCTTTCTTTTGTCATCCTTTGTTCTTTCTTAGACAAAATATTTTTGTTGTATTCCAATACTATAACTTGATGTAGGGAGCTTCAACTTAAGAACGATTTGTCTTATTAGAAACTACACTTCAATATCTTCAACCATGATGAATTTGGTACCCTAGTTCGCATGCAGCCTCATTTTTTACATTGTTTTGAGAATTCACATTATATTTAGATGTATAGACTCGTGAGGTTTCATACATTACATTCCATATTTTGACACGTTTATTTTATTTTTTCAGGTCATTCGTTCGCAAATTTCGCATGTGGAAGATTTCAATATGATGAAGAGTTGCCGAAACTATTTAAAAATACAAGTTTATTTTAAAGGTTGTGACATTAATATTTTTGATTAGTACTTCCTTTGGATTGTGTAGATTCAATGAGATATATTTTGTTTTATGAATTAATAATATTATGTTTTCTAGCATTTGCCTACCTTTGTTTCCACCAAGAGACACTCTTTTACTATTAGCGATATTTAGTTGAATTTAATTGCCATTAAAATAGAATCTAAAAAGTAAAAATAAGATATTTACAGGAAGAATACAATAGTCATTCTAATTGCCAGAAAAATGTGTTGTTAAAACTACTGACGTTTAGCGGCAATTTAATTGAACTTATCGGCTATAAAAATGGACGCTAAAAGAGCATAGTTAGTTTGTTATGGATTTAATTTACCGGCCAAAAGTATTGCCGCAACTAATTGCCAATAAAACTAACGATCTTTAGTGGCAATAAATCATACCCTTTACTAGCTTTTGTGCGAATAACCACCAAAGGCTTTGCCGACCACCCCCGCATTGCCGGCTAAATACCATTGGTAGGTAAAGGATATAGCGGCTATTGTTATTGCCGCTAAAGACATTTTGTAGTGCCGCTAAAGCCCTCTTTTGTAGTAGTGATGGTCTTTTTCAATGCTTTATCTTGTCTGCTAGTCTCCTAATATCTTCCAAAAGCAACGAATATTCATTTTTTTTTACAAATACAAAGAACTTCATTCTCCTTCGNATATATATATATATATATATATATATATATATATATATATATATAGTTTTCTTCAAGTTTTATGCAATTTTATCTGTTTATAAATATTTACTGTAATTATTTTATTTTATAAAATATTAAAAATTAAATACATATGGGTCTTACACCCCGTGCCTTGGAGTTTACGCCTCGCTGGGGCATATGTAAAACGCCTCGCCTTACGCCCACACCTTTTAAAATACTAATTTATAGTTTCACCTAGGGAACAAGGTCCTAGGATCAAACCCTTCTTACATGACAATTATGGGGGCCATTAAAGAATGTGTAACGGCAAGTTATGAATGTCATATTCTCTGTAACGCCTATGTACTTAATGTTATAGAATATTCTCCATTAAATGTTACCGGGTGACAAGTACTTATTTGTCTTTATGAGCAACATTCCCTTCGGGGACAACCGAGATTGCTGCCTCCGGGCTTGATTTCCACCTGTCCCGCTTTCCATCTGTCTCTGGTTCCATGTATTGCTTAATTATGCAAGTATTTAATATGAACATATTTTGCCCTATACAGATAGTCTCCCTCCTTTCGGTGGCACATCCTTGTGTTACCGAGAAATTGGTGAAGATACCTTTCTTGGAGGGAAATTCTCTGACCCCCTTTGAAAAATTTCTAACGGTTGATTAGACGCACGTCTCTCTGCATTTAATGCCCCGAACACGCATCATCCCATGATTAAGCAACACTTTCGCCGGTTCTCGAGATAATTATGGCCACGATTTTAGTCGCCTATTCCTTTACTTATACGCATCAATCTTCTTCTTTTACACTTCATAATTTTTCTAACTCTCTCAAACTTTCTTTACTCATCTCACTCTTGCTTTCAATCTTCTTCTTCAAAGAAACCCTTATTTCCCTTTGTTAACTATGGCTTCTTCTTCCAAAAACTCTAGTTCTTCAAAGAACAAAGAGAGTATTTATGATGTTGCTCCTCCTACGGTGAGCACCATTAACCCTAGAAAACTTACTACGACTAAGGATTTCGAAGAAAAGCTCCCTTCTGCTAATTCTTGCACATAGGTTGTTGTGTATATTCTTATTCTATCCGTCCTTCTAGCCCTGTTGTAAAGGAAGACTGTGGTTGCCCAGATTTGAACATCATCGCTCCTGACCTAGCGGAGCGGGTAATCTTCTCCAAGAAAGGTTTTACGTACGTTTACACGTACCCCTTTACTTTAGGCATGTCCTCATTGAGCAGGGGCTTGACTCCGTTATCTTAGAATTTTGCTTCTGTTACCAGGTCTGTTTGGCACAGGTGAGCCCTTCTGTATGGCAAATGGTCGCTTGTCTTCGGCGTCTATGCCAGGAGACGGGGGAAGAGCTCTCCCTGGCTCGACTGATGAACCTTTATTCCCTCAAGATTTTCCGTGGGGGGAATGATAAACTTCAGGAAACGTGGTCACCATGCTTTGTTTACCAGTATGGATGATGACAACGACCATGGATAGATGAAGCGGTTTGTTGTAGTTGCCACGAGGGACATTATCTCAACCACAACTTCATCCTTTCCTGAATCATGAAACCGTACTCGTAAGTTCAACGTTTGTCTTTTCTTCTGGTTAAAGGTTGTCCCATGTTATCACTGATCCTTCTATTTTTATTATTTCAGCAACTCGGTGGACACTACCAAGGGTTGAAGGCTTGGACTAGTGAGTCCAGAAGATTTTGGATGTTACTACGCCTGAGACCCGCCGGTGGAAATAACTGGACCTTAAATACGGGTGGAAGGCCAAAAATCATGGTAAGTTAATTCTCAAACTTATCTTGTTTTCATCTCAAATATAAGAGAACCGTCTAACTTTTCCCTTTGTTGAATTCAGATCTTCCACAAGGCTCTATTACCGTTCCCGAGGAGGATGTTTTGGCTGACCCTACAGATGCGGCGAGGTTGCTACAGGAGGCCTTCACTCGAACGGGTGTCGTCAGACCTGCTTTCGGTGCAAGTATTTCCTCTCGGAGTCCCCAGCCGGAGAACAAGCAACAAAAAAGGCGACGTTCCTCTACGACCGAGGGCAAAAATAAAATGACGAAAAGCGCCGCGCTCGAGCCAGCCGTAGACACTGTGGTGATCGACGATGATGGAGGAGCCAGTGATGAGGCGATTTCTCTACATAGAAGATGACGACCTTCATCAGCTCAATAGAACATCAATTTGTTGAGCTAGTTACACCAACCGAGGACCTGATCCTGCCTCAACTCCGTCATGACCTGATCCTATCATGAGAGGTGGCCCATAATAGCCTTTTGTTGCTCCCTCAAGATTCTTACTGTTTCAGCGACGTGCTCGTCTTAAGCATTATCAGGAGTTCCCTGTTGAACATGTCGTTAATATTGCCCGCCATGGACTGGCGTGGCCTCATCCCCCTCGTTGCGGGTATCACCGATCGAGTTTTCGTGCTGAGGCTTATTTCCTTGGGCCTCAATATTGTGTGCAACGTTGACATCGTTATCTGCCATTTCTTATGATTTGTGCTAAGAACAAAGAATTAAACAGATTAGTAATAAATGCAAGGATCAACTCAATTACGCAACTGTCTAAGCTCCATGGTGGGCGCCAAACTGTTTACCCATAAAATGGTATAATTTAATTTATACGTAGTTTATAGACAAGCAAATCGATTCGATCCCAAAATGATAAATAAATTAAATAAAAATATAAGACTTAGCGTTGAAATCGAGATAAGATAACATAGATCTTGATTCCGGGAGCAAAGCTTCCGAAGGCAGTAATAACGATATTAATAAGCAAGAAAATAAAATATTATTGAGCTTTGAACAGTATATAGCATAAGTTTGTCAGAAAATTCATGTCCCTGCAATGACTGTTGTACTCGCTATTTATAGATGCACCTAGGGAACAAGATACTAGGATCAAGCCCCTCTTAAATGACAATTAATAGGGCCATTGAAGAATGTGTAACGGCAAGCTATGAATGTCATATTCTCTGTAACGGCCTATGTACTTAATGCTATAGAATATTCTCCATTGAATGTTACCACGTGACAAGCACTTATTTGTCTTTATGAGTAACATTTCCTTCGGGGACAACCGAGATTGCTGCCTCCAGACTTGTTTTTCACTTGTCTCGCTTTCCATCTGTCTCCGATTTTACGTGTTCCTTAATTATGCAAGTATTTAATATGAACATATTTTGCCCTATACACCTATATATGTTGTCACTTAATTGTTAGGATGTATCTTGTGAACTTTGAATGTACTTTGTATCTCATAAAAAGAGAATTACCCTATGGAATATACACTTGAAGATAGAAGAAACTTCTCTCGGCCTCTTTACATTTTTTATCTTAATCTTTCAGTACTGCTGCTCTTTTATTGTTAGTTTACAATACTTTTAAATAAATTATGTATGGTTTTTAAATGATTGGTATTTAATGCCTAATTATCAAGATAAGGATTGTCACAAAGAAACGTACAGATGGTAGGGTTGAGGGGTGTTATGGAGATGATGTAAGCTCAAAAGAGTAAACTTTACCTAATATGAAGTGGTGAGATCCGATTCCAAGCCTTCTTAGGTTGTATATAAGAAGACCAAGGTCTATGGTACAGAGATCAAAAGGCAAATTAGCAAATGATCATACATTCATACTTCTTTTGAACTAACACGGGATGGAACTCAAAAAAAAAAAAAAAAAAAAAAAAAAAAAAAAAAAAAAAAAAAAAAAAAAAAAAAAGGAACCCGAGTAACAAACATCATACTTTTTTTTTCCGACAAGATTAAACCTTATTATACACCATTGACAGTGTACCAAGATTTTTATGTTATCAATGTATTTTAAGCTTATTGTACTTGCGGGTCTCAATGGTTCGGTTCGATCGGTTATTTTATAAAATGTGTACCATATTAATTTTTTGATTATTCTATTTTGTATAATTAAGATTAGACTTTTCGAAACCGTTCCAATCATCTCGGTTTCTCTTCGTTATCAGTACGGTTCGATTAATTTTTGATATTTTTCTTAAAATGTCATGTAAGAGTCACTAATTATAGAAGTTAAAATGTGATAAAATACGAACTTACTTAAGACTTCAACAAAACTCTCTAAACATTCTTACAGTTTAAAAGATTGAATCAAGAGAATATGAAAGATAGCCATAATAGAGATTTGCCCCACTATTCAACTACAACGTAAAAGAAATTGAGCAAAGCCAAAAGAAATATAGATCACACGAGTTGGAATATACAATAAAAAAATATATAAATCATACGAGAGTACTCAAGATCGATGGAATATATGTGGTTTGCCACTCAAGATGATAGCTAGAACTAATATACGAGTAGCATAATAAGTTTGAGAGTTGACTTTGGACTTTAATTACTTGTTGGCTTGTAAACCTTTCCATAATCACAAGGTCCAAGGAAAAAATTAATGTTTTATTATTTTTAAACTTAATATATAAAATAAACTTTTATTACATAAAATTATTCGGGACAGTATGTTTTTTGATTTATTTAAAAAAAATTAAAGACCTATCCTAATCATCGGTTCGGTTATAATTTTATATAAAAATCTACGGTTTTATAAGAGAAATCTAATAATCGGTTCGATACACTTCGATTGATTTAGTCGATTTTTAAAAATCCATTGACACCCCTAATTGTACTTATTAAATTATGTATTTAGATCTATTAGTATTAGTTGAAATTTTAATGAATATTCACGTAAATATATTGTAGGTTGAAAAGATTGAGTTTGGATGAATCAGTTGCCCATTGCTGCATACGCTCCTGAGCGACTAGCTAGGAGTAGTTACTGAACGATTCTTATACTCTAATTATTTGACACAAGTACTACTATATCATCCACGCTAGAAGTTTACTTGTGAATACATATAATACCTCGCGTCTAATCTGGCGGATTTAGGTTATTTTTGCGGGTGGACGTGAACCCATGATATTTCTGAAAAATTAGTTATTTTATGTATATATTTCATAAAATTGACCAAAGAAATATAGATTGATAATTTCCCGTTAGTACTTTTTTTTGCGTTTTTAATAGTGCAACTATGTTCTAGAAATTCTGTACGTGCAACACTGTATAATAGTAGTACTAATAGTAACTGAAAATGTTGGCAATTAAAAGTTGCCAGGAACAGTAATAGCAACCATTAACTCCCAGGAAACAGAACGGAATTAACCATTCTGTTTCTGAGTTCAGATGGTGATTCTTATTTCATGACAAGCACAAGAAGAAACGAGAAGATGTTCGTACACATAACAGAAACTCCAGTAAAGTTAATTAACAGTGTCTGGTGCAGAAGCAACGGCGACGGAATCCACGGCAGTGGCCACCGTAAAAGCCCTCTGTATGGCAAACAGAAGCACAGTTGCTTTTACTGAAACACAGTCCTTTGAATCGGTGACTCTGCGACTCACAGGTCCTCGCCTCAGCCACCATCGGTCCCATCTCTGTACATTAACATAACTCATTAAGTTTAAAACTAATATATGCACTTTATATGATACTATTATTTACTCACTAAGTTTAAAACTAATATATGCACTTTATATGATATTATTTTATGTACTTTTTTTAAGTTTTTTCGAAAGCATTAAGTTCGTTAAACTTAAAACTTATGGTCTGGTTGTGCACCTACAAATTGTACGGTAAGACAAATTCAAGAAAAGAATTTATAAATCAACAAGAAACATGTCCCCTTTTTTTATAATGGTCTGGTTCTGCACCTACAAATGGTACGGTAAGACAAATTCTGCGAGATCAACCAGAATAGCTTTGTTGCATATCAAGACCAAATAAGAAAGAAAAGAAATTAATTACCAGTAGCAAAAACCAGCATCATCATAAGGAAAACAGTTGCAACAACTTTGGGATAGCCAGCCATTTCTTTTTTCTTATTTTCTTAAAATTCTTTAGTACTGTATTTCTTTTCTGTAGCGAGTGAAGATGGCACTACTAAATAGGTCTATTTATAGTAGCATAAGCTAAGCCACGGTGTAAGAGGATGAACTTGAACTGTGGGGTGTGTTACTTTGACTAATCTTGAAAGAAAAAGTAAAAGAAAAAACACGCATTATCTATAACAAGTCACAAGCACTCGATCTCCACTAATCTTTACTCCTCTAGCTTTTCACTTATGTTTTTCTTTTTTAAAAATTTAAGTTATATAAACTGATTTTGATCTTCTATTGAAGATTGCTTCCCATTTTTTAAGGTTAAGGCCAATTAATGTTAATATAAAGAATTATTTGCTATCGCCTTCAAATAATCAGATGGTATAAATTATTTTTACATCGTCAATATATGAAATTTATAATTTTTATTTCTTTGGCGATTGAACTGTATAATTCTAGCACATTCTTCCTCAAAGCCTAAAGAAGTAAAAAGAAAATAAAAGTACTAAAAGAAAGAAAAAAATATACTTACTAAAAAGAAAAACATGAAGGTGTGAACATTCACTTTAGATACCTTTGTAAAGGGGCCTCGATTGCTTATGAGTTGTTGGAAAGGTCAGATCATTTGTATGAACGGAGGTGAGTATATCCATCTTTCTATTTGTTTCCTAGCCTAAATTAAGACATACTTTACAAGGGATATCATTTACTTTGAATTGATCATATCATGGATATAATATTTAGATGGTATCATCAATAAAGTTTCAAATAAAAAACTAAAAATCAGTCTATCAATTTCATTGAATTTTATACGTTCTTTGATTGGGCACAAAATCTAAGATTTTTTAAAAAGAAATTATGGTTTTAAAAATATCATGACATTCATGGGACTATAAAATTATGTCATTGTGCAGAAATAAGAAGTTTAAAGACAATTATTTCCAAATATGGCAAAATATAATTCTTTTATAAACAAGCTAAAAAGAAATAAATATCATATAAAATGGAACACAAAGGCCAAAGGGTAATTCTTTTATTATAGAGAAAAATGGTTTAGCATAGAACTATATACAATCCCTTCAATTTGTCTATTTCTTTTGTATTGTCAAATCAAATATAAATGAATGTTTTAAATATTTTTCTGTTCCTTTCCTTTCCTACTCGTAGTTTCAAAAAAGCAAAAAACAAAAATCACTTTTCTCATATTTTTTCTTGGTACAAACAAGAACAATCGAGATAAAACTGGAATTCAATACCAGTTTCTACTTATAACTTTCAAGGTGGGTAAAAGGGAGAATCAAATTTGTCAATAGTGTGAATAGCTACTTTGGAGAAATGCTTTTTGACGTTCACAACTGTTCAAGATCTGCGTGCCACAAAAACTAACGAAAAAAGAAGCCTCTATTATTGCATTTTTCTTTTCTTAATTTGTAGATATTTACAAAAGAAGTTTTGCCGACGCATGGAGAGGGAATAGAATAAATGTCATGACCTTTGTTCATAATAGTGACTCTATTGAAGAATTTAGACACATCTCTCTTTTGAATTGTGTTTAACCTGATTCTTTAAAATTACTTGAAGCTATCTTTAAAAATTGCTTATGACTAAACAGATTATCCTATCCCTAATCTAATTTGCCGACAGTAGGCAAACATTCGTGGGCCTACAAGGAGCTAGGCTGAGGTATACACGTTCTAATGAACTCTTTTGTCTTATTGTTCCACACTACTTACTTTAAGTTATTTGGATTAAGGGGAATGTTCGTTGGTGTTTTTGTTGCATCTATCTTAAACACGGTTAGATGTGATAACAATTGTTTTACCAAAAAAAATATAACTTTCGGCTAAAACAATTGAGTTTATATAATAATGGGTTAAACTTAATTAAAAATAATATCTCTAGATGTGAGTTCCAGAAACGTGAATAGCATTAGACAGATCTGGTAGTGGGTTGACTACAACATACATTAATTGTTCTAAAAATTGTGAGCAGTAATGGAGGAAGAACTAATAATAAATAACATTAAATGATATTTTAGTAAATGGGAGAAGTGGTTCACCCAATAAAGGATGAACTAGATGATTGTCCCTCCTGACAATGATGAGTGACAGATAAATCCTAGAATGTTCGAATTATTTTCGGATATGATAGAAAAGTATAGAATAATATGAACAAGAATCTTGATGAAAGGGTAGTGTTTGTATCTTTATAAAAGAGAGAGAATCTTTTCTCAAAAGTCTATTCTTATCAAATGAATGTTACATGCCTTACATCAGTGTCTCTTTTTCTATATATATATGAGACATACTCCTAATACATCCTAATAATACAAGTGTAGAGAATATCCACTAGAATATTCTCTTTAATATCCCATTTTAAAAACGAGCCGTTACAACTCTACTAATGGTGCTCGATCTCGCCCGTTATTGATATCTCGACCACAAACCTCGCTGCTTCCTGGTCGACCTCGATTGACCCATTCCTTAGTGTTATATTTCCCTAAATATTTTAGGGCAGATTTTGACCTATACAGTTAGTCCCTTCGCTTATTGAGGCCGGCCTCAAACGGCCTTGATGAGCGGATTCTGTTTGTCGTGGTCGAGAAGATTGGACGAGATGGCGACATGGCCTTTCGTGAGCCGCAACTTTTGGGGTTGCGTCGTTTCTGGATCAAAGTGACATCATGACATCATGCGTCATTATGGTCCATTTTTCTGATGCTTTGCGTCATTTCGCGTGCGTCTGTTGATTGGATCTACCGCTTCGATATCTGTGCTAGGTAATGATGGCATAATTTCTTGGTTTCGATGTCTGAATTCTTATAAATAGGGATGTGAGGGCACAAACTCGTGTTTTACATATTTCCCATATTGAAACCTTGTGCCTCTTTCTTCTTATTCCATTGTTGTGTATCTTCCTTCCCTGCTCTAGAGATCCTCTTTGCGTTTAACTTTTCGTTATTCGAATACCCTCTATTTCTTTAGAACTATGGTTAAAGTATCTTCTGGTCCCAGTGAGGGAAATGACCCGGTTCCCCTGGCGATGGTCTTGCCTCCTTACGTGGAGGGCGTCTTTGTGGCCGTGGAGGATGAGAACTTTCCCACGGTGGAGGAGATAATTCCTCGTGGTAATAAAGTCAGGTCTGACTTTATAAATGCGCCTGAGGCTGAGCCCGAGATCTCTGAGGCGGCGATGAAAGAGGCCGATTTATTAGAGCTTAGGGCTAAATATGACATTCCCGCTCATATCGAGTTGGTCCCTGCAGGGCAGGACGTGGTACAAGTCCACCTACAGGGCAGGACGTGGCACAAGTCCACCGCCCCAAGGTATTGTGCGTTCTACGCCTACCCCTTTCATGTTGGCTACACTCTTCCCCTTCTCCCCTTGGCGGATGAGTTCTGCCGTTTCTATGGCATTTGTCCGGCCCAGCTCGCGCCATATATATACAAGCTCATTAGGATGTTTACTAAGTTCGTAGAATTGGCCGGGGTCGAGATCACCCTTCGACATTTGATGCATCTCTTCGCCCCTAGTTTCTATAGGGGGACAATGTTGAACCTTTACCACCGAGGGGGCAAGTTCCTGGCGGTGAAGATGGACGATAAGATGAGCCGGTAGTTCTGGCACAATGTTTTCTTTGTCAGAATTGAGGACGTGGTGGCCAACGTAGACGGCTTTCCCGAGATGTGGAATTATACTCGTAAGCGTCTAACCCTTCTTCGTTGGAACATTTGATTGGCTTGTTCTAGTCGTGAGTTCTGAACTTTTGTTCCCTTCTTATGCAGCCAAGACTACGCCCCCTCCTTTGGTCGGGGATATTTCTGATTGGGTTGGTCGGGTTCTCCCTCACATCGTGGGGATTCACGAGTGGCTGGGTTTCTTTAAGAAGTTTGGGCTTGCTCTTTCCTTGACCGGTGAGCTCGCCTATTTTTGTTCATTTTGTTTTGGCCTATTAAACACCTATTTCTTATAGTTTGCTTTTACTGATAGTGATAACCTTTTTCGATTCGTTCTTTTCCAGCCCGAGGATCTTCGAGGAGGCCGAAAGCTCCCCCTCCTGCATTCAGTAAGAGGAAAGCTGCCTCCTCTTCGGCGTCTATCCCCATATGACCGCGACTAGGCCTAATTGCTCTTCCGTTTCTGTTCCCTCCTCGACCGCGACTAGGTCTGATCGGTCTTCAGCTCCGTCTATCGCTACCTCAGCTCGCAGCCTACAAATATTTTGATAGTTGAGCTTCCGGCTTCACCTTTATTCCATCTTGTGGACGAGGAGTAGGAATCATCGCCAAGCGATGGGAATTTGGTACCCTGCAAGAGAAGGTCAGTGGATGCTGATGACAGGGTTGCCCGGGCTGTAGATTCTGTGATGGATGATTTTACCATCTACGGGATGGTGACCATAATACTTGAAGACGATGTCAAGCTGGCATATGAGGTCCCGATATCGGCTGAGGCCGTAGAGGGTGCCTCCCTGATTTATGTGACAACGAAAGCCGAAGGGCCGTCTGCAAGGGTTTCTGATACTTCACGGCAAGAGGGGACATCGACCTCGCGACCAGCTGACGGTGCTTCTTCACCGACTAATAGAAGGGACAAAGGCGTGGCCGAGGATGGTTATGAGACGAGCTCAGACCTTGACGCTGCAGAGTTGAGAATGGTGGAAGAGGGATTTACTCAGCTCGAAGTGAAACTAGAAGGGTCTACGCGGACCATCGTGATCCCCATGGATCGTGACCTATTAAAAACACAGAGAATGTGGTCCCTGTCCTCGGTCCCCTTTGTTCCGATATAGAGGGTGAAACCCTTGAGGAGTTGGACGATGCCACCTTATCGAGGAGCATAGCTAATCTCGCTCTCAGGGTAAATTTTTCAAGGCTTCTTTTTCTTGTCTGCTTTGCTTAGATTTTTGGTCTTCGTTTTAGTGCTTTATTCTCGTCAGCATATGTGTTCTCGTGTTTGAATCTCTTTCTTTTTGTGATTGCAGACCGTGATCTTGGAAATCTAAAGCGCCCGAAGGGAGGAGAGGCGTAAGGCTATCTTTAGGAAATTTCAGTGCAAATACTTTGAG